TGTAATCTGCTTTACAAATGGGTGTATTGTGCTATATTGTTAAACTGCTATTGCTGTGATTTTAAAGTTATGCATAAACAGTGAGGGATTTGGTTGTTTATTATGCTTGGCAGCTTTGTGAAAAAGGATTGTATATAAAATGCATATATCCTGCTTGAAACCCTCACTCACATGGGTAAGCAATACAGGCCAACCCTCCCAGGAGACATGGTTGATCTCCCATGCTAGGAAACTGACAACGATAATGGATTTTGAAGTCTAGGAGCATATGGAGAGTTCCATGTAGGGAGGGTTGCTTTAGCAGGCTGCTGGTCTCTGTAGCTGTGCTGACCCTGCTTATTTATTTCCAGAATCATCCCAATGGTAACAAAAATAGGGACAAGAAAGCAACAAGTGTGAGACTTGGCTGGATGCAGCTGAACAGTAACTTCTTATGTTCTTAGGTTGCCACTTTATAGAGTTCTTTGCTTTCTTATGATCTTTTATAATCCAACAGGTGCAGTTCTCAACCTTGCCTGTATCCTAGGGTTCCTGCTCTGGAAACCTCACCCAAAGCATCTCGCTGTTTTCTTCATATTACCAGCCCTCTGGGGTGTGGCTGATGCTATCTGGCAGACACAAACAAATGGTAAGCTTTTCCTATGCCAGAAAAAGTTAACAACTGGCATAGTGCTATATATACCTTTATTATTTATCGGATTGATTTTTATACCGCCCATCAGACCAACGGTCACTCTTGAGTGGTTTACAAGCAGCAACAATAGCATAAAAATAACATAACTAAATATATATTAAATTAACTAAATTAAACTCAAAAAACAAATATTAAAACAAAGTTAAAACTGGCGGCAATTGAATAAAAGGCTGACGGTCACAGAGCTCTTCAGCTGGCAAGTTTTGAAAAGCCTGATGGGATACATGTGCTTTTAAAAGCTTTTTTTAAAATGCCAAGGAGGGACCCAGGTGAATATCAGATGGTGATTCATTCCAGAGGCAGGACACAACTGCTGAGAAGGCAGTTCTTTGCTCTCTCCCTTTGGGCCTCCCTTGGGATAGTGCCTTCAGCGCCCAGCCTGGGAAGAGCATGTAGGGCAGTCCCTGCTGCAGGCGGGCGTTCTGCTGTGTAACTTACCATATACAGTATGTGCACTTGAAATCAGTCCCATTTTGTTCAGTGGGCTTTACTCCTAGGAAAGAACTGCACTGCTCCAGAATTGCACTCTCACCTCAGTTTGATACTACCTTAACTGGTGTCATTGTCTTAGAACTGCAGAGCTGGAAGGGACCTTGTGGATGATTCAGTCCAGTCTCTCTCAAGGAGGCACAGTGGAGAATCGGCTCTGTAGTCAGAGGCATTAAACCACCGAGCTATCCAGCAGTTCATAGCTCCATTCTATGCATTTCTGGGACTTGTATTCTGACAAGGTATTCAGAATTCTCTGCTAGGCAGCTCCGGTGCCTTACCCTGAACTATAGCACATGAGTTCTAAGTATGTCACCAAATTACGAATCTCAGACTTCCACAGGGCAGAACCATGCCGGTTATAGTAGCATCAAATTGTCATACCTGGAAAAGGTAGATAGTCTCTTAGGGTGCAACTGTACTGGCCATTTACCTCATAATTTACAGCAGATGAGGCACAGATGAATTGAAATTCAAACCTGATGACTACCCGATGTAAAGCTCAATGCAGAGAAACCCATCGTGGAATTTTTCTCATTCTTTATTTTATTTTATTTTTTATTGGCGAATCATCTTTGTTATTGTCGTTCAGCCAGCAGGGATGGTTATATCATTTTTGTCCACTCTCTGCCCATGTGGTGACCTGATCAGATGGATGCAAAGGGATGCTCGTAGGGCTGTAAGTTCCCCTCAACTGAGTGCTCCTAGTCTCCAAGCAGGGTCTTTTTTTAAAAAAAAAAGTTTCCAAATGAACCAAGCTTCATTAGGTCACTAACAAAAATGAAATAAACAGAAAGTGAGGTGAAAATGGCCAGTTAGCACCTTAAGGCATCTTCTGATGTTGAACAGAACTCTCTGCCTCTGCCCTGCTGATTCATGTGAACTGTTGTTAGTCTGTGGAACTCCCTGCCACAGGATGTGGTGATGACATCTGGCCTAGATGCCTTTAAAAGGGGACTGGACAGATTCCTGGAGGAAAAGTCAATTGCAGGTTACAAGCCATGATTGGGGTCTATAATCTCCAGGCTTAAAAGGAAAGTACTTCAAAATGCCAGATGCAGGGGAGGGGTATAAGGAGACAGGTATCTGTCTCATGTGCTCCCAGAAACACCTGGTGGGGCCAGTGTGAGCTACAGGAAGCTAGACTAGATGGACCCTTTGCCTGATTCAGCAGGACTCTTCTTATGTTCTTACGTTGTCTGGACAATTATAGTGGTTTACCCAAGGAACTCTGATTTGATAAACTGCAAAAATAGTGTATTTTCCTCATTGTGTAATCGTGCAGGAGACAATCTCAGTAGACTATGCCCTTTATACAAAGTATTGGAGGACACGCCTCAAAGCAGTTGTGTTAATAAGTCCTGGCAGAGTTGTAACGTTTAATAACTTGTTAATTTGGGGAAATATTTTATATATTTATGCTTCCTCTTGAGCTGAGTTACATATTTGCCATAGTCTATCTTGCACAGGTTCAAATGCCTTTTATTTTTCCTGATGGCTTCCAGTTTGCCCCTTCAGTGCTGCCAAATCAAATGTGAGTGCTCAGTTTGATAAACTGAAGAAAAGCTAAAGACAAATGAACAAAGGATGATTAAGCTTTATAAAGCGATTTACAGTCAAATCTTCTGTATGTCTACTCAGAAGTAAGTCCTATTGTTTACCCAGCTTTGCCAGGCTAATTATGTAGAGGATCACAGAATTAATGGCCTAGTTGATTTCTCTTATTATTTTAAACTGCCTTAAAGACTACAGATTAATTATATTCATTTTATGTATGTTTATTAAAGAGTTTACAAGCCACCTTTTAAAACAAAAGGCTCTCCCCCCTGGCTTATAGTTAATACCATAAAACATTTAAAATCAATATATGATAGCATTTAACCAGCAGCAGCAGCAGCATAAAACAATGTAAATCAGACCAAGAAAAACCAGGTTGCCAATAAAAGCAAAGAGGAATTACCGTATTTTTCGCTCCATAAGACGCACCTTTCCATAAGACGCACCAATTTTTTAGGACAAGAAAACAGGAAAATATAATCTGTTTTCTTCGCTCCATAAGACGAACAGACTTTCCACCCCCCTGTTTTGTGGGAAAAAAGTGCGTCTTATGGTGCGAAAAATACGGTATATCCTCTTTCCTGCTTTGGCAGAAGGTTGGAATCGACTATCGTTGGGGTCCCTTCGAGCTCTACAACTCCATGATCCAATGTTAGATTCCAACTTGTCCTTTCAGTAAAAAGTGGAATGAAATAACAAAACACGTTGAAAGGCTCCTGAAAAGCAAAGAGAGAAGGGGCCCAATGGTGAGGGAGCAGACCTTAGAAAACTAATTCATTCTTGTCACACATCACTGTGTTTTGAAACTTCTTTGTTATGACTTCTTACCGTGAAAGTTCCTCCCTGCATTGCATGTTGCATATTAAGACATCAGAAGAAAGATCAGTTAATTAGAAACTAATTAAAATGTTTATTAACTCAGGAGTAGAGAAATAGAAAACAACACTGCACGAGAAAAAATTAAGACTGGAGAATTTTAAAAACCCGAGCTGTTCTGCAATATTTACATTGTCATATAAAGCATAACATTTTTGAACTAATTTGCTTTGGGGGATAAAGAGGTCACCATTTTGCTTTGCAGAATGACCCGCAGACACTTGTTCCATTATAAAATATCTGCCTTTTCCCCTGAGAACACCATGGAAATGGTCTCTTTGGAACAAAAAGACAGAAAGAAGAAAGGACTACAGGAAATTCATATTAATGTGATATCCTTGAGAGCCCCACAAAAAAGGGCACAAAAATTGTATGAGCTTCCTGGATTCCCAGATTCAGATTTCTAGCATGGAGGAAGCTGAAAAGCATGTTGTAAGAACCAGGCAGTGGTGGGGAAGAGTGGAACATATAATTGGAAGTTGAAGTCACACTGAAGTTATGCATGGTGTCCTGAGATGGAATGAAGGAGGAGGAGGCCTACTCACGAGATAGTCTAAGAATATCTGGGGCACCAAGTATAGAAACTACTGTTCTAGCAGGTGATGTGATGACGGTAAGTTTCACCTGGAGTAATTCTCAGATATTGTGTGAGAAAGAAGGGTGGACAAGTCTAGTCCTGCTGCTGGGGAAAAAATGCATTGTTCAGCTCTGACCTCAGAGCTGCCTCTATCCCAAGTGAAGCACACTGACAATAAGTTTCACCTGGAGTAGTTCTCAGATACTGTGTGAGAAAGAAGGGTGGACAAGTCTGGTCCTGCTGCTGGGGGAAAATGCATTGTTCAGCTCTGAACTCAGAACTGCCTCTATCCCAAGTGAAGCACACTGACGCCTTTATCAGCAGAAAAGAAAGAGGACCTAGATATTGGCAATATTTATACTTACAAGCCTGGAGGTAATATTAGATGCTGGGCTAAATCACTTACGTCTTCAGTGGTGTTCACTGAACACTGATGGTGGAAAGGCTCCACTAGAACCTGCAAAGTTGGGGATGGTGAGGGGTGTATTTTTAAGAGGGAGCAAAGGGAGCAGTTGCTACAAGCCACATGGGAGGAGGTGACATTCAGGGGAGCCATTAGTATTGTTGCCAGCTATTTTCCTTCAGAATACCATTATCATGAGGTCCAAAACCTAACAAGGGAAAGAAAAATTACAGAACGAATTGTACTAGAGGTTGTAGTGTTCTTTTGTCGTGACAGGGCGAGCAGAGTTGTGGGTGGCCGAAGGTCACAATTTCTCTTCACCTTTCACTCTTTCTTTCTCCTCTTCTCACTGGAAGATGGCTCTGACCACTATCCTCTAAGCTACCACTTTTTGACCCCTCTCTGACTTGCTTTTTGCTTATTTCTTTAATAAGTAAATACATATTACTGTATTTGTAGGATGCCTTTTCCTGATGAGGGGACTCAAGGAGGCTAACAACAGTAAAACAAGTAGTTTTATGGTTTAATTCCTACTTTTAAAAAAATGACAGTCTGATGGTCCCTCCCCAAGGACTTATTTAGATTATGCTTTGGGACCAACTCATTAATTTTGAGATTTCTTAGGAGACATCAGCTTTGATCTCAAATCTCACCCACCTCATTCGTTCTCCATTCTGGCTTATGTTTTGAAGGGTTGTCTGTCTGACAAGCCCCTCCTGTGTTCCACTTTGCAACCTGTTACAAGTTACAGGCAAGAAAAAATGGACTTGTTTAAATTTAATATGATGTTTACCTACACTTTTAAATTTGTTTTTTTATTTGAAATTGCAAATGTAAAATAAGGGGGGGAATTGATGTTCAAGGAGAGATGGGAAGACATATGTTTTTCAAGAATCATAAGGAGGAGCATGCCACTGAAATCTGCAGAAACCTCTTCTGTAGAGAAGTGCAATACGATATGAAGCTACTGCACACAGTAATTTGAAGAAATCTTTAAAGGAAGGACCTGGCTGAATCTTATGTTATTTTAAAGGTTATCTACTTATAATCTCTTGTCATTGTGTATAAATATGTTCTTTTTATTTTAGCTACAAAATCTTAACATTATGATGGCAAATATTTTGTTGTTGTTTACTTAAGTCGAGTCTGACTCTTCGTGATCCCATGGACCAGAACATGCGAGGCCCTCCTGTTGTCCACTGCCTCCTGGAGTTGGGTCAAATTCATGTTGGTAACTTCGATGACACTGTCCAACCATCTCATCCTCTGCCATCCTCTTCTCCTCTTGCCCTCACACTTTCCCAACATTAGGGTCTTTTCCAAGGAGTCTTCTCTTCTCATGAGAAGGCCAAAGTATTGGAGCCTCAGCTTCAGGATCTGTCCTTCCAATGAGCACTCAGGGTTGATTTCCTTCAAAATGGATATGTTTGTTCTCTTTGCAGTCCAGGCGACTCTCAAGAGTCTCCTCCAGCACTACAATTCAAAAGCATCCACTGGCCTTGTTAGCCATGTTTTCTGAGGCCCACTTGACTTCACTCTCCAGGATGTCTGGTTCCAGATCAGCAACTATACTATCTGGTTTGTGTGGGACATCCAGATCTTTCTGGTATAATTCCTCTGTGTATTCTTGCCACCTCTTCTTGATGTCTTCTGCTTCTGTGAGGTCCCTCCCATTTTTGTCCTTTATCATGTCCATCTTTGCACAAAATGGTCATTTAATCTCCAATTTCTAGAACAGATCTCTGGTTTTTCCCTTTCCATTAATTTCCCCTGTTTCTTTGCACTGTTAATTTTAAAAGGCCCTCTTGTCTCTCCTTGCTATTCTTTGGAAGTCTGCATTCAATTTTTTTGTAACTTTCCCTATTTCCCTTGCATTTTGTTTCTCTTCTCTTTTCTGCTATTTGTAAGGCCTCATTGGACAGCAACTTTGCTTTCTTGCCTTTCCTCTTCTTTGGGATGGTTTTTGTTGCTGCCTCCTGTACAATGTTACGAGCCTCCATCCATAGTTCTTCAGGCACTCTGTCCACCAAATCTAGTTCTTTAAATCTGTTCTTCACTTCCACTGTGTACTCATAGGAGATTTGGTTTAGATTATACCTGACTAGCCCAGTGGTTTTTCCTACTTTCTTAAGTTTAAGCTTGAGTTTTGCTATAAGAAGCTGATCAGAGCCACAATCCGCTCCAAGTCTTTTGCTGACTCTATAGAACTTCTCCGTCTTTGGCTGCAGAGAATATAATCAATCTGATTTCGGTATTGCC